TCCCCCCCCCCCCCCCTTCTCTCTCTTACACGAATCCAGCATTCACTTTGTACCTGGCTCTGCAAAGTATGTGACCTGTCCTGGTGAGTGAACCTTCTTTGGTCCCACCCTCTTTTCACAACCCTGCCTAGAAGCACTGATATAGCAATGCTGTGCTGGTAACCTCCTGGCTTTTTGCGACATAACCGCGGGTGGCCTTTCACCACCAGCTCCAAGTGATCCCACGAGATTTGGAAGCGGGTATTAGAATAATCCTTTTTCCAAATAAGCAAACAGTCGCAGCCACAGAAGGATAAAATAAAAGACAAGGACACACAGCTGCCAAATGGAAGACTGAAGACATCCCAGACCAAAATATTAGTTTGGTGGAGGAGCTTGCCTTAATTAGAAGAATTGAAAGTGAACCCCACACTCATATTGCTTGAAAGCCCTGGGGATACATGTGCTGTTGGAAACACACATGAAATCCTGGCTAAAGCAGCTTTTCTTACATCCCACCCAGACATTCTTGATGTAGCCATTGTTGTCTCTCAGGGTTTCTTGACCTTGACAGCCATTATTGTTTAACTTTCCTGGTTTTTTTTTGTTTGTTTGTTAGTTTGTTTGTTTTTGGTTTTTTTTTGGGGGGGGGGGTGTTTCAAAACAGGGTAGGGAAACTCACTTTGTAGACCAGGCTGGTCTGGAACTCACAGAGATCCATGAGTGCTGGGATTAAAGGTGTGCGCTACCGCCGCCGCCACCACCAGGCCACATTCATTTTTAAATTTCCTCAGTGGATTATATGCTTTTGGAATCTCCTATTTACAGTGGGATTCATAGGAAACATATCTTCCAGTGAGTTTTTTCATCACAGTGGAATCGCTGTGGGTTTATTTAATTGTCAATGAACTGACACGATCTGAGGAACTTCACAGCAGATGAAGACATGAGGCATCTGGAAGAACTAACCTGGGAAAAGTCCCCTCTCCAATAACTCTACATCCTATTGCAGAATTCCATTTGCTAAAGTCTTTCTGGTCACTCTGGTTGACCTCAGATTTTTTTTTTTCTCATGAAAACAGGAGATCTCAGCTTTCACAGTTCTCAAGACTCAATGGAAAGGAATCTGTCTCCTTGTGAATGCAACAGACACAGAAAAGTATTACCTTTGATCTTTCTGGGTGCTAAGTCATGAAGCCAGTGATTCCTGATGCCTCCATTCCATCATAAGATTTGCCGTGGTCATGGCGTCTCCTCACAGCAATAGAAACCCTAACTAAGACAGTCCCTAACTGAGCTTCTCTTAATCCCTGCTTTGTCTGCTTGCTGTCTCGTCCCACTAGGATCCCCTATGGATCTAATGTTGTCTAGGCAGTTGGGCAGTTGAGTCCAGAGTCCTGGATTATGGAGGGGGCTACACTGTAGACCACTGTGCCTCTGGTATTATAGCAAGTATAGCAAGTTGGAGCTGGGCTTTGGAGCATTCCATTATGATGGCAGTTTTAGCAAAAGAAAGAAGTAAAATGAATAAAGCTTGCTCCCAGCTAGTCTTATCGAAAAGCTCCATAGGTGGGAGCAACCCATGGATAAATCACACACCATGGTCCATAATACCCCAGTGTACACTTGTGTTCTCCTTTACAATGACAGCAGAGACATGAGCTGCCACATGTGCCACCTTGCACAAATCATAAAACTATTTTTATGGAAGAGAGATGCTCCTAATTAGGGTTCGGGATGAGTTTGTACTGTGTTGTGCAGGAGTTCTGAAGCTGGTAAGCTTGGGAAGAGCAGTGTCATGAATGCTAAACTTCAAGAAAGCAGTGTTATGTGATATTTTGATTGCATTCTGAAAATAAGATTTGTTTTGGATCAGAAGATGGAGTTAGCCACTAGTTGACCAAAATTAACCATAGAGGTTTTGGAGGACTGGGGAAGTAGTAAGGTGGGGCTTAGAGAGGATCTCTGCCTTTTTTGGAGGAAGGAATGGAAGAGGTCAATGGTGGCTTCTCCCCCACTTCTCTGATCTTTCAGGTTCTTACCCCTGACGACTGATTTTTTTTTTATTGATACTAATTAGATAAATGCTTCAAGGCAGTGGGACAGCAGTGGGTTGGATAGAGGAGGACTGGGGTGGCAAAGAGGCCCAAGGAGAGGACTGCCACAGACAAGGTGAGTGGTGAGATTCAACAGAGGGTAGGGGAGTGGTGAGGACTGAGATTTGTGCAACCACCTTCATCTGAGCTCATTGAGCACATGGGACCTAATGAGACAGCAAGCAGACAAAGCAGGGAAGAAGAGAAGCTCAGTTAGGGACTGTCTTAGTTTGGGTTTCTATTGCTGTGAAGATACACCACAACCACAGTGAATCTAATAAATGAAAACATTTCACTGGGGCTGGCTTACAGTTTCAGATGTTTAGTCCACTATCATGGCAGGAAATATGGCAGCACTTGGACAGACATGGTGCTCAAGAGGTAGCTGAGAGTTCTGCCACAATAAATGTAAAAAAAAAATTATTGGAGGATTAATTCACATATTTGCAGGATTTCTTATGATTTCTAAAAAAAAAAAAAAATAGGTAAAAGGGCTGTAGTGGTGTCTGAGTAGTTAGGAGACCTTGCTGCTCTTTCAGAGGACCTAGGGTCAATTTCTGGCACTCACATGGTGACTCACAAACCCTTCTAACACCAGTTCCAGGGGATATGATGCCCTCTTCTGACCACCAAAGACACTGAACATGCATGGTATCCATACACACACTCAATCACACACACACACTCATAAATTAAATAAAATTTAAAAAATAACAAATTTTAGATAGGCCAAATATTGCTTTAAAACATAATTAACTTCTAGATGTATTTGCACTGGACTATTTTGTTATTGTTTAAAAACAGAATCCAAGCTGGGAAGATGGTTCGTCAGATAAAAGCATTTGCCATGTAAGCCCGAGGGTTGGATCTCCACTGCCCATGAGAAAGCTGGACACAGTGGCAAATGACTGTGACTTAGTACCCCTACAATAAGACGGGAGGTGGAGATAGGAGAATTCCTCAGAAGCTTGTGGACTAGTTACCCTACAGTTTACAGCATAGCAGCCAGCAGGAAAGGAGACCCTTCCTCGGACACGGTAGAACCCTCATCACACACACACACACACACACACACACACACACACACACACACACACACACAAATAAAAAAATAAAAAATAAAACAGTCATAAAAATTAATACCATGGGCCAAAGTTTCAAGAAATCATCTAAGATATTATACAACTCTCTGAAGTTGGTAATGTGCTTGCTTTTCAAGCTTTGAGGACTTCAGTTTGATCCCCAAAATCCAAATAAAACAAAGATGGGTATCGTGATACTCAATTGTAATCCCTCTGGGGAGGCAGAGATAGGCAGGTCCTAGGGGCTGGTCCAACCAGTGTAGCCTAATTGGTAAGTTCTAGGTCAATGAGGGAAAAAGAAGATGTTATCAGCTGTCGTCTGTCCTACATATACACAAACACAAACACATGGGCCCAACATACACCCAGAATTGTATGCAGGCTAGATTTGGCCCAAATGCCATGCTTCCAACCTGTAATCCCTGATCTACTGTGTGGAGGTGGGGGATGGTCTCTGCAAACACCATGGCCAGCAGAGTATCAATCTGAGAAGACAAGAAGGAAATTCATTTCAACAGGACTCAGGAGCCTCAGTATTCAGTATTGGCTCAAAATTTAAAGAGTCTGACCCCCAGTAGTTTAATTAAGCATATTTAAGCACAGCACAACTTGTAAAAAACATTTCCTGCTGGTAATTAACTCAATCCCATGAGTACAACACAGCTTAGGACATGACTACTCTGGGGCTGGAGAAATGGCTCAAAGGATAATGCACTGACTACTCTTCCAGAGGTCTTGAGTTCAATTCCCAGAAAACACATGGTGGCTCACAACCAGCTATAATGAGATCTGGTGCCCTCTTTGGGCCTGCAGGTATACATGCAGGCAGAATACTGTATACATAATAAATTTTTTTATTGGTTTTTCAAAACAGGGCTTCTCTGTGTAGCTTTGGAGCCTAACCTGGCACTCTCTCTGTGTAGACCAGGCCGGCCTCGAACTCACAGAGATCCACATGCCTCGGCCTCCCGAGTGCTGGGAGTAAAAGTGTGCGCCACCAATGCCTGGCAAATAATAAATCTTTTTTAAAAAGACATGCCTACTTGAAACTCTTGTAAAGTACCAGTGACATCATCCATGAAGATAGGTTCTACAGATTAACTAAGGAAACAGGCTCAAGATAAACACGATAGAGAAAAGGAACTGGGGTAGCAGATATGGCCTGACCATACAAACAGCACAAAGGTCAAAAGCTATTAATCATGTCTGATCCCACCTTTCCAGGAGGAAAACAGGTTATACATTTCTCCCTTTGAAGAGACAACCCTGTGTATTTAATATTCCTGGTTTCCTTAGTGCTTATATTCGAGCACAGGAACTACATGACTCCTGCAGTCTAGAACAAAATTTGAGATATAGATACATTTCTTTTGATTTATTTTGTTTTCATTTTGAGACAAGGTCTCACTATGTGTCCTTGGTTCACCTGGAACTCACTCTATTGACCAGGCTGCCCTCAGACTTGAAGTAATCC